CAGTACTCATTAGCAGGTGCAGACAGGACCTGCTCACCAACGTACTTTGGTATAAATTTTAACTTTCCCAAGTTACCAAATTATCTATATCAAATCAATGTACCAAGGTATCATTTTGCCTTCTCAAGGGCTAGGTTCAATTGCTTTCCCTCAGCCTTGTTAAAAGGGCAGTTTAATAACATTCCTTATGGAGAAAGGATATGCCCCTGTGGGGAAGAAACAGTTGAGTCCCTGGCACACACCATTCTAGAATGTAGTTTATATAAGTCTGAACATACCCATTACCTCTACCCAATAATGTGTAAATGCATTAGTATACCTCCTGCAGACTACCTTAAGTTTCTGCTGTCCGGAGAGAACCAATTAATATCACAGTCAGTGGCTAAGGTTTTATTCTCAGTTTTAAGAATCCGTAAAGTGTTGTGTTAAGATAGATGCATGATTCAAGTTTCATATTCCTGCTATCTTTTAATATCTAACTTATTTTGTATATTTTATGTAATGTTTTTATTCTTGTATTTTTGGGTCTTTGACCGTACAATAAATTCAAGTTCAAGGAGAAAAGTGTTGTAAAAATAATTTTACATAAATATTAGTTTTGCTCCGAGGCAGTTCTGACTTGGCAGCAGATTAACACACAGTTTGTTTAGGATTTTGGTTTTAGAGGGGTTGCTTACTCAAATTGTTATCTTGGTCTAGTTGCTGCTTCACTTGTTTCAATCTGTTACTGTGCGTCACACACTTTTTGAGATGTTATAATCCTGCTTGGGTCACACCTCTGGTGGGTCATTAAAATTACCATTAAAAGACAAGTTTTCAAATCCTGCGGATTTTTAATCAGGCTGTAGAGGGAGAAACAGAAGGTCCCCAAAGCATTCTGGCTAGCAGCAGCAGCCAGGGAGAGAGGGACCATGATGAGACTTCCAGGGACCTTCAGGCATCATCCCACCCCACAGACAAGCAGCTCCTCAGATGCTGGGATTGGAAGTCTCCAGGCTGAAGGACACCAGTCTGGACAAGAGGGAAACCATCCCCCAGAGGGGGCCCTTTCTATAGGTGACGGGCCTGTATCCAGTTGCACTGAGGATACTCCTCATGGGGAGAAGAGAAGGGGGCTTCTCATAGGGGGCAATTCGATTGTCAGGAACATAGAGCGAGGGATTTGTGATGGTTGTGAGGACTGCAGGGTGACTTGCCTGCCTGGTGCAAAGATTGCGGACATCACTTCTGATCTGGATAGGCTGGTAGAGATGAGGTAGCAATGGTGGTGTATGTCGGCACCAACGACTTGGGGAAATGTAGCCACGAAGTCCTGGAAGCCAAATTTAGGTTGTTAGAGAGGAAGCTCAAAGACAGGACCTCAAAGGTATCATTCTCAGAAGTGTTACCTGTTCCACATGCATATAAAATTAGGCAGGGGATGGATAAAGTGGATAGAGGGAAGCTCTTTTCCCTCTCACACAATGCCAGAACCAGGGGACATCTACTCCAATTGAGTGTTGGGAGAGTGAGAAGAGACAAAAATAAATATTTCTTTACTCAGAGTGTTGTTAGTCTGTGGAACTCCTGGCCCTGGGCTGTGTTGATGATGTGTTGATGGCATCTGGCCTAGATGCCTTTCAAAGGAGATTGGACAGATTCCTGGCGGAAAAGTCCATCGCAGGTTACAAGCCATGATGGAGATGTAAAATCCCCAGGCTTAAAAGGAAGGTACTTCAAAATGCCAGATGCAGGGGAAGGGTATGAGGAGACAGGTACATATCTAGTTGTCTCGTGTGCTCTGGTGGGGCCACTGTGAGATATAGGAAGCTGGACTAGATGGGCCTTGGCCTGATCCACCAGGGCTCTTCTTATGTTCTTATAAATCTGCAAAACAGAGCAGGACCATTTAGAGACTTACGCCAAAACCAGGTGTGCAACATGTGGTCTGCAGGCTACATACAGCTCCCCAATGGGCCCAAGTGCAACCCCCCAAACCTTTTTTAAAATAAGTTGTTTTGTGTGCATGCAAACACTTGTGTGCGCCCAGGTGTTCCTGTTAGAGATGGGTACAGGCAGCCCCTGGACCTGTAGAGGTTGCCTGCTCACGGCCTAATTTGTGTAACATTGTGTTTCTTGGACATAATTCTCACTTGCGTTAATGAGAAATTAAGTTCTGATGCTACCGATAATTTATTAATTGAAGAGCCTTGCGGTGCAGTGGTTAAAGTGCTGTACTACAGCCAAAACTGTGCTCACGACGTGGGGTTCAATCCCAGGTAGCGGCTCAAGGTTGACTCAGCCTTCTATCCTTTCGAGGTCGGTAAAATGAGTACCCAGCTTGCTGGGGGGGGGGCAATGTGTCGCCTGCATAATTAACTTGTAAACCACCCAGAGAGTGCTTGAAGCACTATGGGGCTGTATATAAGCAGCACGCTTTGCTTTTGCTTTGCTTTATCAAAGAGCAGAGCAGGACAGTTGCCTCAAAGAGAAGCCAAAGACTTATGAGTAGGTTTCCAACTTAACTCATTAAAATTTCTTATGCCTTTTTCCTCAAACAAGAAAATGTGTCTGGCTCTGTGATGTAACAAATTGGAAGCAGGGGCATTTACAAATTTTCTTCGTAAGTTGAAGGTTTCCGCTAAAATAATTGCACGCTGTTTGGGTTTGAAAAAAAAATGGGCAAGAATCTTGCTAAGTCTCCTACCATAACTCCATTGGTGTAAATTTCAGCAGCAAATTGACAATAAATCACCAGTGTTGACTTCTTAGGCAAAAAGGATGTGGTGGTGCTGCGGGCTAAACCGCAGAAGCCTTTGTGTGCTACAGGGTCAGAAGACCATCAGTCGTAAGATCGAATCCACGCGACGGAGTGAGCTCCCGTCGCTTGTCCCAGCTCCCGCCAACCTAGCGGTTCGAAAGCATGCAAATGCGAGTAGATAAATAGGGACCACCTCGGTGGGAAGGTAACAGCATTCCGTGTCTAAGTCGCACTGGCCACGTGACCACGGAAGATTGTCTTTGGACAAAACGCTGGCTCTATGGTTTGGAAACAGGGATGAGCACCGCCCCCTAGAGTCAAACACGACTGGACAAAAATTGTCAAGGGGAACCTTTACCTTTACCTGACTTCTTAACTTACATTCTCTCTATATAAAATAGAGCTAGGGGAACCTGTGCTACTTCAGACACCAAACTGAAAGTCCCATTAATTTTTGCCAGCATCATTAGTGTTGTTGTTCAATAAGCACTTGGAGGTCCACAACTTACCTATCCCTCATAGAGGCCGAAAGCAGAATTATTACTCAGGTTAGCCATAGAAAAAGCCAATGTAGATCAGAGAGAAACAGATTAGAACTCAGGAGACCTGAATCTGAATCCCTTTCTGGCCACAGAACCTGATGGGGAGGCTGGGATTGGTAATGAATACAGTACACACTTTCTCCACGACTACAAAGTTTTGTTGCTTCTGGAGCTATGGATATTTTTGGAAATTTAAGCACACAGCTCAGTATCACAAGAAATCTAGCTTATTTTTATTATCATTTAAAAACTAATATTCCAAATATCCCTATAAAGTTACAAAGTGAAAATGGCAATGTTTGAAAGGAAATTAAAATTAATTACATTCTCTGTTTTTTCTGACTTGGAGATTGGCCTGTTTTTCAGTGTTTCTTGTTATGTGCCCTCAGAACTGATTTATAACTACCTAAAATGACCCTAATAGGGCTTTCAAGGTACTTGAGGTATTTAAGGAGCTGTTTTACCAGTGCCAACCCCACAGTGAGTGTCCATGGCCAAGCAGGAATTGTGTGCTTAAGACAATGCAGAATATACTGAGGTGAAGTCATTTGTCTACAGGAATGGGAAAAAAATCTATTTTACATCCCCTGAGGTGAAACTTGATACCTCCACACCTCAAACCGATTGCTATTCCCCCACCTTTTTTTTTGTTTTACTTGTGTTGCTGATCCAATTCTATTTCTCCCTCTACAGCCTGATTTTTTTTTTAAATGCAGGATTTGAAAACCTGTCTTCTAATGACAATTTTAGTGACCCAACAGAGGTGTTACCCAACCAAGATTATTGCGTCTGAAAGTGTATGACAACACACAAGCTTTCACAAAGGCTTTGTTTCCTATTTTTAGTTCAGCTCTTTGACATTTATATGACTGTCAGAGCGAAATAAGCAAATTTATGTATCTATATACATTTATATGGAGACACACACACACACAGAGAGAGAGAGAGAGAGAGAGAGAGTTTATTTATCTCATTTAGCGGGGCTTGAAATGTGAAGGAGAAAGGCAGGCAGAAAGAAGGTTCCAGATATGGAGACACACACACAGAGAGAGAGAGAGAGAGAGAGAGAGGTTGCCAAATTCAGTTTCTCAGGTAGATATGACGGTTTGTGACAAATGTCCATTTATTGCAGTATCAAGCACAAACATAAAAATTACTGAATTGGTTAGTTTCTCTAACCATTTCAACAATGGCTTCAAGGCATGTGAAACTGCGCTGTAGGCCAAGCTGCATACAGGAATATTTTGCGCTGAAGTGTGCAACCATAATACTGAAATTTAGTCTTTTTTAATATAACAAAATATAACAAAAACATACATGACAAATAGAATCACAATTCAAATATACAGTGTAGCCCACCACCATCAAGAATATTTTTGGAAAGAGACGGGGCACATGATATAATGAAGATGAAATGTTTCTCTTTCCAAAAATATAATGATTCTTGTTTTGGGGTATAACCTTTATGTTTTGTAAATACATATTCTATATAAGGGCTCCAAATCCCATTAAAACTATTTTCCTTCAATAATCCTTTTCTGACTTTCAATTCACAAGTTAGTTAATTTATCGTTAATAGTTAGATTCCACATCTTATTATACCATTTTTAAATGCCAGATGCAAGGGAGTGGTATCAGGAGACAGGTATCTAGTGGTCTCGTGTGCTCCCAGAGGCATCTGGTGGGGCCACTATGAGATACAGGGAGCTGGACTAGATGGGCCCTTGGCCTGATCCTGCAGGGCTCTTCTTGTGTTCTTATGTTCTTATTCTTCCAACATCAATTGATCATTATTTTTCCAGTTCCTTGCAAATATCAATCGAGCTGCTGTTACTATAATAACACTTAGTTCCATTTTTCCGCTTACTGAAATTTATTCTTGTTTGAAAAGGATTCCATAATTTATTCTGAAACATGTGAATCCCACTAGAACTGATATCCAATGTAAAACAAAAAACAAAAAAAACCCTCACCTGCCTTCCTACACAGAGGAAACAGTGGTGACTTATTCTGGATAAGCCTTTGGGTAAACGCTAAACTCCTTTTGGCTTTCCCGTTATTAACAGTGAATCTGGAAGCAAACCAGACACTTTCCCTCAAGGCAGAAAAGGAGGTTAAATAATGCTTTTATCCTCAGAATCCTTGTCATGTCAAGAAACAAAGCTTAGAAATCCAAGTTAAGTATTTAAATATAGTAGTCCCAAGCAACAGTTTTCTGGTTCTGTCAAGACAGTGCAAAACCAGTTCTTCGAAGGGGATAACCAAGACACACGTACTGTATTCAAAAGACAGAACAACATGGGCACCAGTCAAAATGTTAATGTATCATTTGAATAATTTCCACATTTTGAATAAATTAGTCTGAGTCACAGGTTTCGTTGTTAGCTTTAAAATTGTCCTTTGATGATGTAAACCACCATAGTATACTCATTGTTTTCAGCTTTAAATACTGTCTTTCAGTGTTGAAAGCTGCCTTGAGTCCTTTTCAAGGAGAAAGGTGCGGTAAACATATTTTAAATAAATAAAGCAAATAAATAAATTGACTGTGAAGTTTTCATTTGGGAAAACTCTGTTTAGACTGTGAAAGACAGACAAAACGATTTCATTTTTTGCCAATAAATAAATTGACTGTGAAGTTTCCATTTGGGAAAACTCTGTTTAGACATTGAAAGACAGACAAAACGATTTCATTTTTTCACTTAGATTAACTTCATTGCTGTTTCCAATGGAGAAAAACATCAGCTGAGTGAAGATGCAGCAGAGTAAGTATCTCCACTCATTTATTGAGAGGCAGGAGTTAGACCCTTGACTCCAGATGGCAATGTTGTAGCATCTTTCTCAGTCCACAAGCAAGGGAACCACATCAAGGCTTTGCGCAATATGACTGTGGGGAGGAACAGCAGGGTTGGTTGCTTAGTGACCGTGCAAGATACGAGTCTAGCGCATGGCTTTCTTTTTACAAAGCAGGCAGAGTCTGTGCACATAGTCTCTTGGGTTTTGTTTTGTATTTTTCCTCTGAAAGCTTAAAAGAACAGTAGAAAATTGTTGAGTAGTAAATGTATAGGTACAGTTCTGCCTGGAATTGGAAAAGTGATTCACATTCAAGCCAAAAAGCTTGTACAAAATACAAATGAATTCATTGGCATCTTCTTCTTGGTTGCTGCTGCCCCTCTGTATAACAAGGGGAGTAGACTAATGACTACATGCTACCAGAGTCATTCACCAAGAGTCATAAAAGGAGATTCTGCTTTTCATGGTCTCAGAGGCCTGGATTACAGGGCACCACAGGCCACTTTATTTCTTGTTGTCATTTAGTCCTGTCCGACTCTTCGTGACCCCATGGACCAGAGCACACCAGGCCCTCCTGCCTTTATTTCTAGAGAAATGCAAACAGTGTTTTGGGATTGGACCCAGTGCTTAATTCAGTTATCAGTTACACTTTGCAGTGAAACTGAGAGGGTGTGGCAGATTACCTGATGGAAATACCACGTTTCTTTAAAGGTCTTGCCCAAATTACCAATATTCTCAAACTATTAACTCTGAATAATAATAATACCAATTGCATGCCAAATCAATCTCACATTAGGGAACTCTTGCCAAGGTTTTCTAGGTATAAGATATGGTTTAATATTCCCTTCTTCTGAGGTTGCTCTGGGACCATGTAACTTGCCAAGGCCACACCACGTGGAACTTCTTCTGGGAGGCATAGTTAGGAATCTAACTCCCGTTCCAACTCATTGGGCTATCTGGCCAGTTAATTTGGGGAAGAGGAAGGAGAATTCCAACATTTACACATCCTTCCAGATGTTTAAGCTTCCATTGGAAAGTGACATGCATTTTGGAGATGAAGTCCAAGCTCGCCCACGAACAATAATTCATTGTGTACAAGTTTTCTTCTTTGTGCACACTAAATAAAACACTCGTTTTTGAAAGTTGAGATCTGTGGTAACAATGATCAAGCTTTAATATGATGATATCTTTAAAGCGTTCCTGAGGTTTATTCTTGATATGATAGTAGCAGGAGCACCCTCTGTAACAGAAGGTGAACATGTCTTAATCTAGATTTTTTTAAATAAAAGTGTGTGAAATCCATAGCACACTTATGCTTTGGACCATGTACACAGGGATATGAGTCAGTTCTACAGTTCCTTCACCCTTCGTTCTCCACATAACAATGTTCTTGTGCTTGCTTTCACTATTTGGATAATTAAGGATCCCAGGAAGATGAAATACAAAAGAAACAGGGAGAACTGAAGATGAGAAATTATGTTCTGGGAGGAATAAACCTTTAATCTTGTTTGCTTGTAGGAGAAATACAGAATTGGATACAAGTTATTATTTTACATATATATCTATATTTGAATTTCTCATTTTCCAATGCAGCTGAGGATTGGGTTATTCCTTCTCCAGTACTATTATGCCAGCTTCTTGCTGGTCCTCTTGAACGTTACATCACCAACTGTAGAAATCTGCAAGAAAGAGTGGATAACCATTATTGTTGAAACTGGCAATTGGGTAATGTCCCTTCATTCTGGAACACTGAGTTGCAGTCAATTCTCCTCCACACCTCTTTTCTGCAACTGTTGGTGACACAGAAGTTCTGTGCAATGACAAAATAGAGGAGCTGGATGTGATTTCTCTTGAAAACAGAGTAAGATGTATATGGTCTTCCAGATTCTGAAAGACTGTAATTTCCATCAGTCCTAGCCGGCAAAGCTAATTATAAAGGTCAATTTTTGAATGATCTTAGAAGTCAAAAACTATTTGGAGTGCAATATGTTTCCCTCTCCTGGTCTAGAATAACCTATTTCAACCTGATACTAGCACAGTGTTGTCATTTTACTAAGGTTGTTTCCATCTCTAAAGCAAGTTGATTTGAAGGCTCCCAGGTTATCTGCTTTTAAAAAGAGATTCTCCAGTTCAAGTAATTACAGCAGTTCCTGAAACTGGGTCCTAAAAATTGCAGTGACATTATTTTGGAAAGCAGGACATGATCTGAAACAGCTAATTCCTAATGTACTTCCGGATGGAAGGCTGCTAAAGCACCAGTCATCCGATATTATGCAGCTACACCCCCCCCTCTTTCCCTTGTTAATGTAAGCATACCAGGACTTGCAAGGCCCATGTCCCATTTTTGCATTAAGTGACCCTCAAAAACTATCCTGATACAAAGAGGAGAGGTGTAGATTTCAGTGTAGATGTAGCTTCTTGTGCAAACCAAGCCAGGTGAAATTCCCTTATCTATGTGCCTTAAATTTTATGTAAATCTTCACCTAGTAAAGAATGCTGGCGAACCAAAAAGTTCACAATTATTTGTGACATTTTAGTGATCCAACACAGGAACTGCCCAACCCAGAATTTTCTTTCTATGGGTGGCCCTGGGTTGAGTTGAGGATTTTTCCAGTCCTCAACTCAGAAGCTGCTACAGCCAGGTCTTTTCAGGCAGAAGGCCTTCAAGGCTGCTGAGAGAAATGTAAAGAATAACCGAAGCCAAAGGCACCCAGCCATTCATCTTATTTACAGAGGATAGCCCTCTGTTCAAAAGCCCACTAGAAGGTAATCCATTGTTTGAAAGCTTCCCCTGTTTACAGTGGCATCCAGTCCATATTCAGTTTGAAAATAAAGAATCCAAAGAAGACCCTTGAAATTGTTCCCCAGCAGTTAGCAGCTAGGCATCAGACAGAGCAGGAACAGATATCAATGGTCAGTTTTCTCCATTACTGTAAAATGAATCGTAGATGTCTTTAAAAATCTAGTAATGCTTTTAAAAAGCTTGCATCTGTCCATACTGTATAAACTCACATGTACAAATCTGCATCCTCTTTTGTCTTCTTTCTTTGGTAATGCTTAAGTGGCCACACTCCTGGTACCCCTGCCTGCAAACGTGTAACTCTGCCTCTAAACTGTGGCCGACACTCCATTACACATTTAAACCTTTAACATCCCCATGCGGTAGGGCATCTGGATTTGTGGATTACAAATGCATCAGGCAATTTATTGATATCGTACCTGGATAGTGGGGACTATTTAAATCATTGCACTGTCAGTCTGTTGGAATGCTAACTTCTTACTTATGCTAAAGTTATGGATATCTTCTTGTTAACCAGTCATTTTGTATCAAACGTTCCAAATTCCAAGGAAGATTTCTAGAGAATTACCTCTACTAGTTTCCCCCCAGCAATCTCTGCAGTGTGATGATAGTTAGGGAAGTCAGCAACCACTTTTCCACCTTCCATTTTAACTGTGGCCTGTAACAGATCAAAACAGATCAATTGTCAATATTGGCTGAAGGTCTGAAGCTAATTAAGGAGAGAAATGTTAGAGGAAACATTATTATTGTGTTAGACCAGTCTTCTCAGATAACAATAGTTGGGTTCATGGCTAGCAGGTAGCCTCAGTCTCAGATTTCTTAGGATGATTATAACCCAGCAGAGGAATTTTCCATGAATATAAGGAAGAGAGAGAGAAAGCCACCTCCCGTATTCAGTATTCCAACACTAACTTGCATTAATATACTGTAATATAAAAATTCAACATTTTGTTGAAATTTAATATATTGTGGACATTAGCTATACAGCTTATCAGTCTTATCACTAGCAAACTGAAAGAGATGTCCATGTCATTTCTTTGACTACTATACTACACAACTATGGCTACACTAACTGAAGAGCATCCATTTTGTGGCATATGGCTTAATAGAACAAAATCCATATACTATATCACATATACTGCACAACAGGGTATATCAACATATTTGGCTCCCAAGGTGGACAGTAAGATGTCCCCATCCCATTGACAGGAGCTGACTAAACTGGCCACTGAAAACGTACTTCAGCTATGATGATGGAATAATATTCTTCATGTCAACTGAAGGTAGTAGTCAAACATGGTAGTCACAGGCCAGGTTTTGAGGAGAGTGCTACTCTGTTCACCAACAGCCTCTAGTCAGAGCAGAGTTTGTCACTACTCCCACCCCCAGAACTCCTCATTTGCTGTCTGAGATTACCCTTTTGCTTATCCTAGGGATAGAGCCACCTAAATTCAGAAAATGTAACATCCTCACCACAGAAGAACTGTCTTGAGGAAAGGTGTACCTGATATCTGCGTGACTAACTCCTTGAGACTCAGAAACAAAGACTTGCCAACATCCCTGAATGATAGCGTCGTCTTCTGAGCCTCTTCTCCTCATCCTTGCTCTCCTTTGGAAGGCAGATTCATCCCAGACTACTCAAATGTCGCCACTAACTTTCATTTTGGCCTCCCTCAAGCCCCAAGAAAAGCGGTCAGGGAAAGTTTGGTGCAAGATTTTTTAGCCCCTATTAAACCTTCTTCTTGGTGAACTCCCAAACTGACCGTATGTTCTGATATTCCTTGCTTTGCTCTATATTGATCCTCTTTGGACCAAACACTCTTTTGTCTCCCCCCTGGCCTGTTTACCTTGAGCTTTCCCCTTGTCCAGAACATACATAGAAGCTAAGTGAACAAATTATAAGGCCTCAGATTAAACAAGACCCTTACATAATAAAACAAAACAAAATAAACATCAGAAAATGCAAATCCTCCATGCAAAATCTAATGTGTGAACAATGCAATCTTTCTTTTTAAAATGCCATGGGGCCTCTTAAACTTGACATGTCATTATCAGGCTTTGCCCTTACCCTGTTATAGTTCCAAATGTCTAGCTTGCTTCCAACATTTATTTCATATTGGCCAAAATCCTGTTGCTTGGTGAAGCCAATCACACTACAATAGGCCCACTAAATTTTCAGCTCCTCCATAAGTTCCTTTGATTCAAATGCGCCTACTCTAACTGTGACGTACAGTACTAAAGTAAGATGTAGTTAAAAGTAGGCACATTTGAATCAATGCAACATGCAGAGAACATGACTCACCAAATCCCCACTGATTCAGTGAACCTACTCTAGTGTAATTTACTACACTAAGAAACAGGATTGTAGCCATTATGTTACAGATCTAACCTTCTGGATTGAAATATCATTATCTCGTTGCACTCCTGTCCATCTATGTTGCTAAAACAAACTGCTTGTGAAATAAGAACTTTTCAAGTAATTTGTGGCATGGTGATATTCAAAGGCAGGGCACGGAGATGTTAAAAACCTCACTGGGCATGTCCAAGTCCTTCAGCCCACTTAAAGCAGTGCTTGGAAACTTGGTGAAGCTCTTTTGAAAGTAGGAGTCATGCTACAGCCATTCACTCACCTTGAATTTTTTGCCACCCATTGTCTCCATGTCTGACTCCTTGCCAATGACAAATTTATTAATCATGGATTTCCCTCCTGGGTAAATCTGGGACCAGGTGAATTCATCTCCATTCTGTACTATTTCAGTAACAATTTTGAAATTTCTTCCTTTTTCAATTACATCAGCAGGAAGACCTGGTTCGGTAGAAATACACATATGTTTTTATTATCGTGGTGTCTCTCAGATGCCTACAAAATTCATGCTAAATTATTATCTCTCTATCACAACCAGCACAATAAAGATATTAAAAAGAGAACTCACCACCACCATTTGTCTTGGTTTCCAATAAAAACTTGGATTAGTGTCAACAAATCATGACTTGAAGAAAATATGGCAACAATGTTTTGATTTTTCTGTAAAGGTAAAGGTAAAGGTTCCCCTTGACATTTAGTCCAGTCGTGTCCAACTCTAGGGCACGGTACTCATCCCCATTTCCAAGCCGTAGAGCCAGCGTTTGTCCATAGACAGTTTCTGTGGTCATGTGGCCAGCGCAACTAAACACGGAACGCCGTTACCTTCCCACTGAGGTGGTACCTATTTATCTACTTGCATTTACATGCTTTTGAACTGCTAGGTTGGCAGGAGCTGGGACAAACAACAGAAGCTCACTCCATCACGTTGATTCAATCTTACGACTGCTGGTCTTCCGACCTTGCAGCACAGAGGCTTCTGCAGTTTAACCTGCAGCACACTTTTCTAATCTTATCTTTTTTGAGAGTTTTTTTTTAAAAAATCAAAGTTAACAGCTTTGAAATATGGAGCCTTGTGTTATTTTTGTTGTCTTAACAAATTACCACAGAAACAAGATAAAAGGATAATGAAGAAGAATCCGCCTGGATGAATTACTGTAATGTTTACTCCTTCTGCTATAGAGCACCCAATCCCAGTTAAAGGGCTACCATCCCCATTTTAAGTCTCTCTCTTAAAAAAACAATAGGATTGTCTAAATCAGGAGCTGTCAAAGAGTAGCCCATGAGACATGGTTGCTACGCAGCTCCCATATTTCCTCACCAATGCCTAGGCAACTTTGGGCTGGTGGGAATTGCAACCCAACCACAAACACCTGGAGGGCTTGGTCTAAGTGTTGGAAAAGTCTTGAGCCTACGTACCAATGCGCTTCATAAAATTATCGTAGTTTTCTTCACTTTCTACTTCATATTTGCCTGAGAAAGCCATGGTGCAACAGTTGAGGCCCGGACTGGAGACTTGCTGAGGAGAGCGGCTATCCTTATGAAGCTGGCTAGGCTCACCTGGAGGCCAGGGGTTAAAGCTCCCGCTTTATAAAGCTTTCTTAGCACAGGTTATCCACCCTAAACAGGTTGTACTCCTCCGCAATACCATGTAATGAGGAAGTTAGGGGTTTTTTTTTACAACAGGAGTGCAATTTCACATGAGGCATTGACAGGGTGGTTATTGACCTTCTACAAAAGGGTCTGGGTTACACTTCTGACATGTCTTGGACATTTTCCTCAGACACATTCTATTGAAATATTTATTATTATTTACTAATTGTTATCCTTGTTAAAAGAGCAGAAATCATACTTGATTTGGAGAGAAAAATCAGCACCTACTGTTTTATAATTTTCAATATTTATGAGAATGGTTTTAGAGTCATATATTGATTAGACACCCTGACCCTTACAACAATCATCTATTTGGTCTCTATTCCTCAATATGTTACAGATTTCTATGACATCCTCTTTATAATATATTTCTTTACATTCAAAATTAAAAAGCCCCAAACCTACTGAGCTTTATGGTGAGAGTGTTGTAACTTCACAGTTGTTTAGTCCCCTCTTTGCTTCTTTTCCAGCTGGGCATTATCTTTTTGAAATGATGAGTAATTATAACTATACATATTATTCTGGATGTGGCCAAAGCAAAAATTTAAATGGTGCCTAAAATCCTTTCAGTTACCCCTGTAGTGGCATAATGTAAGTGGTGTAACTTTTGGTGGCACATTGCCATAATTTAAGAATTCACTGTCAATACAGTGGTGCCTCGCTAGACAGTTACCCCACATGACAATTTTTTCTGCTAGACATTGGCCTTTTGCGATCACTATAGCGATTCGCAAAACAGTGATTTCTATGGGGGAATTTCGCTGGACAATGTTTGGTCCCTGCTTCGCAAACCGATTTTCACTAGACGACAATTTTGACAGCTCCCTCCGCGCTCGCAAACAGGTGTTTTCGGGACCTAAGCTTCACAAGACAACTATTTAAACAACTGATCGGCGGTTTGCAAAGCGGCTTTCCTATGGCCGATCTTTGCTAGACAATGACGATTGTTCCCCATTGGAATGCATTAAACAGGTTTCAATGCATTCCAATGGGGAAATGCTTTTCACAAAAATGATTTCGCTAAACAGCGATTTCAGTGGAACGGATTATCATTGTCTAGCGAGGCAGCACTGTATTATCTATTGTACACCAAGGCACACGATAGAGTCTATGGTGGCTTCACTTGCTATTTATTGTCTTTCCCTTTCTAGTTATCTGCAGTGCAGAGTTGACTTCCACCAAGTGAGGGGGGAGCTGGGAACATGTTTTGGGGATTTTGACTAGGTTCCTTGGTCAAGGAGACAAACCATCACTGCAACATACTTCACTTGAGACCAGCGAAAATATACAGGAAGGAGCCTAATACAGATTTTTACAGCACACTGCTCTGAAAAACACCTTGTCAAGAGACCAAAATCCTGGTTTTCACCAAAAGGTTTGTCAAGTACATGTGGCAGACAGATGGGCACAACATATAAATATCTAGGTTTAGTCTTTTAGACAATTGGACTGAGGAGAGAACACATTGCCCATGTCACTGAAAAAGCTCAAAGAACTATGACTGCCATCTTGAGATTCTTTTTTTCAAAAGGGGGCTCCTGTATACCATCTGTACTAAAAGTATTCCAAAGCAAGGTACTGCCCCAACTTCTGTATGGTTCAGGCTTATGTATACACAAGGACTTCTGCCCCCCTTGAAGCAGTACAGTCTACATTCTTGAAAACTGTCTTTGGTGTACCATGCTGGATCCCTAATGCCCTTCTCAGAATAGAAGCTCTACAGGTCTCACTGGAAGCAAAGGCTTGGCTTCAAATAATCAACCACTGGCTAAAGTTAAAACTTAATCCTATCAGTTCAGCACCTCTGATTTTAACAGATAACCACTCCTCAGGCTGGGCAAGAGCAATACTGTAAAGGAAAAAATTGTTGTCCTGCAGGTTATCCGCCCTTCAGCCATGTTACTCCTGGGATTTATGAAACCCAAGGAGATGATTCAGAAGCAAATCTGGGATATAGCCTGACAGCCCCTCCAACTGGACAGAGCACAGGTCCCATATTACTCCGTGGTTGGGAATCACAGTAACACATTTATCCCAGAAAATTACCTTTATAATTTAGAACTTGCAAAACACTGGAGAGCTTTTACCCTGGCCTGTTTCAATGCTCTGCTTTCACCCTTTTTAGAGGGAAGATATTCATGTTGCCGTTAAAACCACATTTTTCCCTCTGCCAGTCTGGTATGAAGCCTGCTGCATAGCTCAGTGAGTTAGGTATCTGGCTAAGGAGTTTGATTCCATACTTTGCATCTCAGAAGAGTCCGTCTGCGTGGCCTTGGGCAAGCAGCAAAGTCCCAGGGTGATCCCAGAAATATGGAATGATAAACCACCTCTTAGTATTCTCTACTTGGAAAACCATAAATTAGAACTACCTTGATGGCACAGGGTTATTATTAATCCGGTATGATGGAAACTGTGGAACATGACCTGTTGTATCATCTTATAAAGATTCACACAATCTACTTACTTTACCAATTTTAAACATTATCCAGGTAGCCGTGACAAATTTTACATCTCTTTTCCCATCTCTGATTCCTGAAGTGAAATTACAGCTAAGATTCTGTGCAGTGGATCATACAATAAGAAAACAGATAAATCCTGGCAAATACAAGATTAGGCAACACCTTTAGAAACCATTACTCACCTTTTGCATTTGTATTTTATTGTGTACCAACCACATGGCTACCCTTTATTTCAATTAAATCACAGCAGTAATCAAATTAGGAACCTGCACTTAATTATAATCTGAATTTCAGTGTGAATAGCACCCTGGCCAAAGATTCAGGTTTGGAGGGTCATTGTCAGGGTGGCAATTCTGAAGGCTTTCCGCTAGTCTGATATCACTAGCTTTGAACTGTGGGTCTAGGATTCCCAACCTTGTCCCCAGATGTTCTTACACTTAAAAATCTCAGAAGCATTCACCACTTGTTGTGTTGGCCAGGATTTCTGGAAGTTGCAGTCCAAGAACATCTGGGGACCTAAGGTTGGGAACAGCTGCTGTAGAATATGTGGATAGGCAGCTGTCACACTGGAGATGTTGCTGGGCTACAACTTTTATAATATTGCACCATTCATTACAGTATGCTGATGAAAACTGAGTTGAAGGCCAAAACCATCTGGATGGAAGTCCACAATTCCCCACTTCCAATCTAAGAGATTATCAGGAATGTAGCTGGCTGTTAATATTTTAATACACTTGTTTTTGTTATATGCCACCAAGTTGCCTCCAAATTATGATAATCTTCTGAATTTATAAGTTCCAAAAGGGGCAATCATCAACACTAATTAAAGCATTTCTTTTTGGGGGGAAAGCTATGAAATTTTCTGAGGAAGAAAACATTGAATAAGAGGGTTGTGTCTTCTTTGCAAAACATCAAGTTTTTCCAGTGGATACGTATGTGCCCTCTCTCTCCACATAAAAGAAAATACTGTAACCTCTCCCACTTCCCCACCCACTCACAGAAGGAAGTACCACTTCAGAGAATTGACTAAGGAGGTGAATGAACTTAAGTGATGATCTTTTCCATCACTTGAAATTGCATTCTTTTCCCCCCAGTAATAATGCTGATAGCTCCCTATTGTCTGGCAGATGCAGACAAGCCACAGAAGTATAGCAAGTGAAGTATTTACACATGAGTTGCTCTGAACAAAATTGCATTGCATTGTTCATTTGCTTAGATCATCAAGATCTTGATATATTAATTAACAAGGTACAGTACATGAATTCAAAATCTTGTGAACAGATTTTAGCCAGTATCCTATTGCCGAAATATGCGGCAGAAGGGCAATCACATAAGCAAGCTCCCCCCCCCCCCCCGGCTTACCATTTTACAAGACTAGTCACACAACTTGCAATCTGCTGTAGCAGGGGAAACACACTATTTTCATACTGTTTTTATATTTAGGCAACATTATACCAGATTACAGTATGCAACAGTGCCAAACCATATTGGACAACAGAACGTGCTCAACATTTAAGATCATGTTCAGTTCAAGAATACATAAGTGTGTTTGCATTTTATTTTGTTGGTTCACTACATTGTCGCACAAAGCATTGCCCGAGCCTTACACTCCCAATAAGACCATTTTCATTGTGTGTGCTTGTACATACCAGCAATAGCCTCACTCAGCACAGTAGCATTCCAAGAAGTAATAACCTTAATGTATTGTTTGCTGTGGTTTGATACTGAAAGTTAAACTCCATGTACAGCTGTACGTGAAATATCTTGTGGCAGCAACTTTAATGTTTTCTACTTGTGAGAAGCATCTGCTCATCTCTCATAAAGATCCTCCACCTCCCTGAGTATCTGGAGGATGTTTTAGGGGTGTACTCAATTCACAGGGGGCAGTGGCTGGACCTGTGGGATCTCAGGATTGCCCCTGCCTTAAACCAACTGAAAGTGTGTCAAGGGATATAGCCACTAATGTGCTTCAGGTGCACATATCAATAAAACACATTGGTTACTAACATGTTGTGCTTCAGGAAGCCATGTTTATTATTACAGTATTCATTGTTGTTGGGGAAAATGTCCCATAATTTCCTCAGTAATTTCCTTCCAGTAATTGTCCAATCTTTTACCTGAAGGGGTTTGTAATTGTTAGGCCAAAATGCCCAACAGAAGACTGGGAACAGAGGTGCTTTCCAAAAGCACGGTTTTAAATCCATGCAAAGAGCACAGGGTTTATTTAGGTTTTATTAATCATCCTTAACGTAATATAGAACAGTTGTATATCAGGGTTAAAGTTTAACAGCCGTGCAAGAAAGCTGACTAGGTTTCTTTGCATCAGAACAGCATAATTTCTCCAGTCATAAATATACTTATTGCTCTCTTCTTT